TGGATACCAAATTTTCAAGTGTTACATTATTATCTGGTTAAGAAATTAAGTAAAGGTTTGTACTTGAATTAGTTAAATACCTGCAAAGGTATGTTAGGATATCAAGAGCAATGTCCTTATTGATGATGGCAAATTGGTTTATTGATGATAACAAATACCAATTTGCGATCATGGTGTTTATTGAGGACCAAATGTTAGGGAGAAGTGGATTTTCATGACCAAATTTTATTTCAAATTACCTCAAACTACCTTATGGGTTAGTATTGAGTAAACTGAGTTGGTTAAAGTTGATTAGTTTTAAATGTAGTAATTGGGTTTAGTTTGCAAACTTTACAAATGTCATGTTGTTAGTATAATTTCACTTAAGTGAAACGACTGAGTTTTGTGTAAAATGGGGAATGTATAAATTAGCTTCCCCTGCTCTGTTTTCATTCAATGAAATAAACCTAGAATTTCCAGAATAGTCTTCGTCAACTTCACGCTTTTCTTGTTTCTTGATTTCTTGATTTTTTGCTTCTTGTTCTTAAATCCTTCATGGTATCAGAGCCCTAGACACACGTCTATGGTGAATCTTAGCTTTGATTTGGATAACTCTCACTCAAAATCAGTAAGGATGAACACTGAAAGTGTAAGCTTTACTATTCCAAGCAGTCCTCCTACTTTACCCACCCTTTCCGTGAAATTGTTAGAAAGAAACTACTCATTCTGGAAGTCGCAGATCCTACCAGCACTAACCTCTCATGGAATTGAAGTTTTTGTTACTGGAGAAAGAGTATGTCCACCAATGTTCGTTCTTGAAAAGTCAGATGAACTTGGGCAGATGGTTAAGAAACCGAATCCAGATTATTTTGCATGGAAGAAGATTGATCAATTCTTGGTAAGTTGGCTATTTTCTACAGTATCAGAGACAATGTTTCGCCATATAGCTAAGTGTGTTACTGCTTATGAAATTTGGAATACCCTTGAATTGCATTTTCAATCTGCCTCTAAAGCTAGAACCCTACATCTTCGCAATTTGTTACAAACTACCAAGAAAGACGCTAGCACTGTTAATGAATATGTATTGAGGATGAAAGAACTAGGGGATGAATTGATTGCTAGTGGCGTCAATTTAACTGATGAAGAACTGTTATTGTATATCTTGGATGGCCTTGGGCCTGAATATGATGCGGTAGTAGCCAACTTAGTTTCAACCAGTAGCCAAACCACACTACAGGAGGCACAATTTTTGCTCCACAAACATGAAATTAGACTAGAAAGACAACATGCGTCCTTTACTAATTTTCATGAGGCTCTTATGGTTTCAAAGCAAGGTCTGAACGACTCTAATGCAACCTCACAGATCTTTAACCCTCACACATTTGATGTTGCTAATACCAGACCATATACACAAACTGCTCACCCACAGCTTCAACCTTTACAGTCCTTTCCTAGTAGTACTTACCCTGCACCTCAGAATACACAAACTGCTCATCCACAACCCCAACCCTTACAGTCATTTCCTAGCAGTCTTTATCCTGCACCTCAAAATCAGCTAGTCAATCCACTGCAAAGCCAGTTTTCCCGACCTGAATTTGACCCCATACAACAACATCACCCATAACAGATAGCTCCAGGGGATAGTTTTACTCCTTTTAGTCAATATCAGGTTTATAATTCTCAACTGGTACGCAGTAGAGGCAGAGGCAGAGGCTATTTTCGATCAAGGTTAATTTGCCAAGTTTGTGGTAAAGGAGGTCACTCAGCGTTGCAGTGTTATCACAGATTTAATCATGAATACCAGGGATTTGTCAACTCTGGATCAAGCTATAACACTGGTGGTGGATACAATACTGGAGGTTTTAACAATACTGGACAGCCTACTGGGTTTAACAATGTCAACCCTCCACAGAACTCCTTGGTTAATATGAACTCTCATGCATCACCACAAGCTTTATTAGCAACTCGAGTTGGGCCGAGTCAGTTTAGTACCAATCTAGCTCCTACTTCATTTACCTCAGCAGGGACAAGCCGACCAATTAACTCTCAAGCTGAGTATTCTGGAAATCATGCTCCTAATGCACAAAGTGCCTATAATACTGGATACCTTCATCAGGCTCAGTATGGTTTGTCTCCTGCGTCAGATAGAGAATCACAGCAACAACATTCTGCCTCTTCATCCTTTGGTACATCCATTGCTACTCCACATACTGTGAAAGATCAGACATGGTATGTAGATTCTGGAGCCACGAATCACATGACCTCTAATCTGCAGAATCTGGTGATTCAGGACAACTATCCTGGTGGAGCAACTGTCCAAGTAGGAAATGGCCAAACAGTTCCAGTCTCACACACAGGTGTGTCTTTTCTAAACTTAAATACTTCCTCTAGAGTTTTATTTCTCAAAAATATGCTATGTGTCCCTCACATTGCTAAGAATTTATTAAGCATATCTCAAATTACAAAAGACAATGGTGTGATAGTTGAGTTTCACTCTAACCATTGTCTTATAAAGGATAAGTGGACTGGTGAAATATTGCTTCAAGGATCTCTCAAAGATGGCCTATATCGACTGCAAGTTTCTCTACCCACTGCTGCATCCTCCACCTCCTGTTCAAATAAGTTGTCTTCTGCTGAACCTATTCCCAGTTCTAATACTAATGGTTGTAGTGTTAATAAAGCTCTTGTTGTTTCACAAGAACCCAATGTATCTCTTAGTTTGACAAAGCTGTGGCATGCTCGATTGGGGCATCCACAAGCTAAAACTCTTAAGAATGTCCTGAATAAGATTCATGTAACTGGTTCTTTTGATAACAATGATGTTTGTGAGTCCTGTCAATTTGGCAAGCTGTCTCAAGCCTCTTTTCCCAAGTCTGATTCTGCAACTACTAAACCCCTTGAGTTGGTCTACTCTGATCTGTGGGGTCCTGCACCTGTGAATTCTTCTGAGGGGTTTAGGTACTATATGCTGTTTGTAGATGATTATAGTAGACACATGTGGATATACCCCCTGAAGTATAAGTCTGAAGCTTTTAAGGTTTTTACATACTTTCATTGTTTTGCTGAAAAACAGTTAGATGCTAAGCTTAAGTGTTTGCAAACTGACTGGGGGGGTGAATTTCGATTTTTTACTGGATACTTGCAGCAGCATGGCATTAGTTTTAGGCACCCTTGTCCTTATTTGCATCAGCAAAATGGTTGGGTAGAGAGGAGACATTGGATTATCACTGAATTTGGCTTGACTTTGTTAGCACATGCTGGTATGCCATTGTGTCTTTGGTGGCAAGCCTTTAGTACATCAGTGTACATTGTAAATAGACTACCTTCTTCAGCATTAGAAGATATTTCTCCTTATCAAAAGTTATATGCAAAGGAACCTAAGTATACTGCCTTGAAAGTGTTTGGGTGCTGCTGTTATCCTTTTATAAGACCCTATCAAAAACATAAACTATTATATCATACTGAGCATTTTGTTTTCATTGGGAATAACTTAGCTCATAAAGGATACAAGTGTCTCTCCTCTACAGGAAAAATGTACATTGTAAAACAAGCTAAATTCAATGAAGAGGTATTTCCTTACAAGACTGGTTTTAAGTGTTTTTTTTTCAAAGATTTGGATACTACAGAGTCGAATTTATACTCGAATATTGAAGGATTACACTCATCATGGAACTTGTCTCACTGTTTAGACTCTAGTGTAGAAAGCATGATAAATTCTGGTGTTGTTGCTGAGGGTTTCTCTCAGTCCAGTACTGATCATACAACTACAAGTATCTGTTCTGATTCACTAGCTAACTCTCTTATACTTTGTAATTTGAATGCTGGTTTTGCTATTAATAACTCTGATGTTGCTGTTAATGACTCTAGTGTTGCTGTTAATGTTGATGCTCTTGTTAATGATTCTAGTGTTGTTGTTAAGTCTTCTACACCAGGGTTAGTTAGTAGTGACTCTATGTTATCTCTAAGAAACTCTAATACAGCTGAGTTACCTGGCCACTCTCCTGATAAAACAAACTCAGCTCAAGCTATCTCAGGTTGTGATGGACATCAAAGTTCCTTGGTGACTGGTCAGGTTGCACCTTCTGGAATACAATTAGAAGTGGTTTTACTTATTCAACAACCCAAACCTGTCATCAATAATCATCCCATGATTACTAGGTCGAAGTCTCAATCCCAACACTCTATAGGTCAAGCCTATATGACAATTCTATCCATTTTACCAGAACCAAAATCTGCTGCATAAGCTGTCACAATTCCTGAAAGGAAAACATCCATGAATGAGGAATTTGGTGCTTTGTTGAAGAACAAAACCTCAGAACTAGTACCTCTTACTTCAAACATGAATGTAGTAGGCTGTAAGTGGGTTTTTAAGACAAAATTGAAACCGGATGGCACTCTACATAAATATAAGGCAAGATTAGTTGCCAAGGGGTTTTAGTAGACCCTTGGATTGGATTACTTTGACACTTTTTCCCCAGTAATTAAACCAGTAACTATAAGGATCATACTCTCTCTTGTTGTGCACTATAGTTGGGAAATACTGCAAATTGACATCAATAATGCATTTTTGAATGGAGAGCTTACAGAGATAGTGTTTATGTTACAACCTGAGGGCTTTATTGATCAACAGTACCCCAAACATTTGTGTAAATTGTCTAAAGCTTTATATAGCTAAACACAGGCCCCAAGGGCCTAGTTTGATAAATTGAAAACTGCCCTCATTGAGTGGGGATTTCACAACAACGTATCTGACACTAGCCTATTTTTCTTTAAGAAGGGAAATTAAGTCCTTTACTTGTTGGTTTATGTAGATGACATTCTCCTCACGGGGAATGATTCTACCCTCATCAAGCAAGTTGTTATTGACCTGAACAACAAGTTTGCACTAAAAACTTTAGGAGCTCTTAGCTATTTCTTAGGCTTTGAAGTTCATAGGAACAAGGTTACTTACTCAAGCCAAATATGCGCAAGATCTTCTAATCAAAGCTGGTCTCTCGAAATGCAAACCTTGTAATACTCCTATGGCAACAGGCACAAGACTTCTAAAAGAAGATAATGATCCTTTTGACCAACCCTCACTCTATAGAAGCCTTATAGGTGGCCTGCAGTATCTAACATTGTCAAGGCCTGATTTGGCCTTTGCTGTCAATAGATTGACCCAAGTTCTTCAGCACCCTACCACCAATCATTGGACAGCCTGTAAGAGGGTTCTCCGGTATATTAAAGGGACAATCCAACATGGTTTATTCTTTAAGAAACAACAACACTTTCAGTTAGAGGGATATGCTAATGCAGATTGGGCTACTGACTTAGGTGATAGAAGATCCACTATAGGGTACAGTATCTTCCTTAGGGGTAACCTAGTTCAATGGTGTTCTAGGAAACAAAAGGTGGTTGCATTGTCTTCAACAGAGGCTAAATATAGGGCTCTTAGTGAGGCAGCGACTGAATTGGTCTGGATCCATAACTTGTTTCAAGAACATGGAATAACAATCAATTCTGTCCCCACTCTTTGGTGTGACAATATGAGTGCAGGGGCCTTGTCCTCCAATCCGATGTTTCATGCTAGAACAAAGCACATCGAAATTGATGTGCATTATGTGAGGGAGCTGGCTGCTGAAAAAAGTCTGTCAGTCCAATATGTGCCTTCGGAATATCAAGTTGCTGATGTTCTAACCAAGGCACTTGCAGCACATAGGTTTCATATTCTTAAAGAGAAATTGACGGTGTTGCCTTCTTTACTTGAAGAAGAGTTACAGAGCTGATGGGTTGATTAGAGTTGAATTGGTTGCTAAGCTGATGAATTTAAAACATGATGTTGATGAAATTGTGTGGCTGGTGTGTTAAGCTTGCTATGTGGTCTTCCTTAGAGCAGTAGTGTATTAGAGCTACTGTGTAACTAATGTACTTGAACTATTGTAGCTATTGTGTGGTTCTTTTTCTTGGAAGCTACAGTGTATTAGAGTTGTTGAGATAGCTGGTGTGTTTGAGCTATTGTGTGCTTTCCCTTACAGCTGCTGTGTAGCTGGTGTGTTTTGAGCTATTGTGTGGTTTTTCTTGGAGCTGAAGTGTATTAGAGCTGTTGAGATAGCTGGTGTGTTTGAGCTATTGTGTGGTTTCCCTTACAGCTGCTGTGTAGCTGGTGTGTTTTGAGCTATTGTGTGGTTTTTCTTGGAGCTGAAGTGTATTAGAGCTGTTGAGATAGCTGGTGTGTTTGAGCTATTGTGTGATTTTCCTTAGAGCTGCTGTGTAGCTGGTGTGTTTTGAGCTTTTGTGTGATTTTCTCTTTTTCTTGATTTCTAGATTTTCTTACTTCATGTTCCTAAAATCTCAGCACCAATTCAAGATCATGAGAGAGGGAAGTAAAGAAAGAGAGAATGTGAGAATACAAGGGGTTCTAATGTAAGGGTATCATAGGGTAGATGACTCTAGGTATTGGGTAAATACCAAAGGGTATTAAACACCATAGGAACAAGAGGAATTAGAGGATCCAACAATCGCTCAGAATGAAAGTTGATGGTGTGATGAAATACTTGTATCATATTCATATTATTATAGTAAAAACTCTCTCATTTGTAGATGTAGACAAGTTATACCGAACCATGTAAATATCGTGTGCCTTTTTGTGGATTATGTGTTCTTTTTTTAATTTTATGTTTTTTTTACTCCTCCCATTTTCAACAAAAACTAGTAGGACAGTGGACCAAGGTGTTTCAAGCTTGACTTAATGTGTAAAATGTAAATTAGCTCTCGACTAGTTTTGGGTGGAGGTACAGAGACAAAACCTTGAGGACAGTGCAGTAGGACAATGGGTTATTGTGTTTCAGGTGTTTCAACCTTAACGAGAATAGTGGGCTAGGGTGTTTCAAGCTTGGCTTAATTTGTTAGGTTAGGTTAGCATAGTGTCAGCTTATCTTAGAAATCAGTAACTGCTTCGGTTAATGTTAGCATTGTTGTTAAAGTTAGTTATACTGGTTGGTAGTTAGTAATTTATTTCTTCGTGAATTTAGAACAACTTAATGCTGCTCAGTACAAATTTACACCGTTTACAACTTTGAGTTTATATTATGTTAGGGCCAAAAATCGTCCTTGGCCCAAATAGGAAAACAGGACTAACAGTGAGGAAGAGACCAGGCCCAATCCTGATGCGGCCCAAACCGGATTAGGCCCGTTTGATACGAGGTACAGTTGGCCCAAACCATTTGGGCACGAGCCTTCCAATCCCAGCTCACTTCCTGGACCTATACGCGAGTTTAGAGCCCACAAGCCCCACAGGTCACTTTTCCTGTTCTTGATTAATCTCCTATTTGAGGCCACCTTCCTGTTTAGATCACTTTCCAACTCGAAGTTATTTTCCTGTTCAGGATCACTTCTTATCCGAACACTGGTAAGACAGCTCACCACTGCCCTAACTCCTCTATGGTTTGGTATCATAGTCATATTAGGAGTTTCACTCCCACAAGGATTGGGAGACTAGACAATTACTATATAAACAGAGGCCAACCCTCTCACAGGACACATTACATTACACCTTCATACCCGAAGCTCCTACTTGAGAGCTTCACATCATCGTCGTAGTCACAATCCCCGACTAGACTTCTGGTAATCTATTTACTCCCTAGCCCTTACTACATTAGCCTCTTTTAGCCTTGCTGACTTGAGCGTCGGAGTGCCTACGGCAAACACCACCCTAGTGTTTTCCATTCGCTTCACGCATTTGTTTCTCTACGTGTGCAGGTGCAACAGATCACTAGTGGCCTCAACCTCACGGGATTAGACCTCTCTTCCGTACAAGTAGATTTTTACGTCTACAGTTTGGCACCCACCGTGGGGCCTCTAGCAATCATTCGGGTCGACAAACCTTGCTACGTAGAGGAACATTCCATGGTTGACAATTCAGAAAATGCCAACTCCGGCCTTAAGGCCAAACTGGAGGCTCTGACCGCTCTCATGCAATAGAATTCAAATAAAGTGGCCACACTGGAAGCCGAGAACAATACAATCTGGACCAAAAATGCCTCCATCAGGGTTGAGAATCAGTCTCTAAAAGAGAAGGTGAATCAGTTTTATGACCTGGAGCTTTTTCCTAGCCAGGTACCTCCCAATCGTTTCCGCGCCCCAGTTCCATCCATGCAGCCTCTCCAAACCCCAGAACACAGACCCTTAGCCTCTAGCAAAAGGCTGCGTCCATTAAGTTCATCGGCAGTCGACGATTCGGTCCTGACTCATGGAGAAAAAGATATGCCAACAGAGCCCCATTCAGCTGATCCATCTCAGTTTCGAGATCAAGGTGCCCTAGTGACAGAAAGCCCGCACCTGCAAGACCAGTCCCTTTTTACCATCCAGCCTAGCCTCCAGTCAACCATCCCCGCACAAAAGCCATTCGGCTCGGTTCACCCTCACTGGTTGAACGACCAACCTAACCAGACCGCATCAATCGAGTCCACCCATCCTGACGGACCGAATGATTATCAATTAACTCCTCTGACCATCCATGTAGGGCGAAACACCAGATCAGTTACCATGGGAGTCATCTGACCAGAGGGAATGAACATAGAACCAAGCTACCACGGTATACACGAAGGAATGATCCACCAGACTACACCGCATGGCATGAGCCAATGGAATATGCTGAGGACGATTGCGATGGCTGATATAGCCACACGGGATGACCTAGTGGTATCCCCCTCCCCTATGGAACAGGTACTGGCAAAGAGATTGGCTGATGTAGAGGCAATGATGAGGTGCATCCCGGGAATGCCGGTCCCGACCAGGAAGAGCAAGCCTCACTGTTACGTGGATTCACCTTTTGTGGATGAGATCGCCCTGCCCGACATGCCCTAGAAGTTTACTATCCCCAACATGAAACCCTGCGACTGCACGACCGACCCATATGATCACATAGCCTCGTACAAGCAGCGGACGTTCACTATCTCAATACCCCAACCGCTGAGGGAAGCCTGTATGTGCAAGAGTTTTGGCTCAAGCTTGTCTGGTCCAGCACTCCAATGGTACACGAATCTCCCAAACGGATCCATCGACTCATTCGCCCAACTGACCGACACCTTTGTAGAGCAGTTCGCCAGTAGCAAGAAGCTCAAGAAGTTGTCGGCTGACCTATACAGAGTATATCAGAGAAGGGGAGAGCCATTGAGAGAGTATGTCAGCAGGTTCAATAAAGAGAAGATCTCAATCCCTTCATGCAACCCCGAGACAGCTGTAGACACCTTCAGGAAAGGCCTCCTCCTGGACGGAGAACTTTACAAAGAACTTACGAAGCTAGGTTGCACCATGATAGAAGACGCTCTGGCCCGAGCAGTGATCCAGATAAGATGGGAGGAAGATGAGATAAACTGAGCAACTCACGCCAGATACGACTTGAGACGGAATGACAGGAAGCCAGAGTACAGATCAGTGGAACATCGCTACCAACCCCCAGCGCATAATACAAGTGGAGTTAGGAAGTCGTATGATCGCCAACCAATGAAAACAGACAATAGACAGTTCGGATCGAACCGGTACAAAATACCAAGGTACAACCTCAACGTCGAACTGACCCAGGTTGTTGCAATAATGAAAGGAATGGGATCCATCGTTAGGTGACCAGGCAAGCTCAACCCCGAGGCAAGGAGAGATACGACCAAGTGGTGCGAGTTTTATGGCGACCATGGGCACAATACTGCAGACTGCATCGCCTTGTGGCTAGAGGTCGCTGCACTTCCGAAGAGAGGACATCCCGAGATCTGCTTACAGATAAGGGGAAGAACACCATTAGCCAGCGAAGCTCTAAAGACACATCACCACCCCCGCGGGAACCCACATCAAAAGGACTCTGTTCGATCATCTCCGGGGGATCAGCGATCAGCAGGGTTAGTTACTTGTCAGCCAAGCGATATTCCAAAGCCAACCGCCACCATGAAGTCCAGTCCATCCATCCGGTTTCAAGATCGCATACCCATCAAGTAATTCAATTTGAAGATGACGAGCCGGTCACCTTGGCCGCTCCTCATCACGATGCTCTAGTCGTCTCCCTGCAGATTGCCAACATCCTAGTGAATAGGGTATTCATAGATGGAGGCTCCTCAGCAAACATGTTATTCCTTGAAGCAGTGAAGGCTATGGGTCTAGAAGAAGCAAACATCAATAGGCGGCTGACACTGTTGGTTGGTTTCAGTTCAGAGCAGAAGTACACCATTGGAGAGATCATCCTTCTCATTTACGCTAGCAGAGTGAACAAACAGACTGTTTTCCTAGTGATCGACTGCCCTTCACCATACAACGTCATCTTGGGCCGACCTTAGATCCATGACATGTGAGCAGTCCTATCTACTTTCCATCACGCGATCAAGTTTCCTACCAATTGGGGAGTACGAGAGATCAAGGGCGACCCTAAAGCCTCCGGAGACTGCTACAAGAATGCTTTCAAGGGTAAAGGTAACACTTCATAGCAATTACAATCTCATCCAACCCATCCGATCGAGTCGGACCAATAATCTATAGAGGAGTTGGATGAAGTGCAGATACATCCGAACAACCCCGAGAGAAAGACCCACATAGGTTCCTGCCTCAAGCCCAAGACAAGAGAGAAGTTGATAGAATTTCTTAGGCAGAACCAAGACTGTTTCGCCTAGTCCCACGTCGACATGACCGAAGTCAGTCTAGAGACAATGGTCCACCAACTTAAGGTAGATCCGGATCACCCACTAGTGAAGCAGAGAGGAGAAATTTGCACCAAAGTGTAACCGAATCATCAATGAAGAGATAA